TTTATTGTACAGAATAAATTTAAGAAAAGTACCTGTGTGAGCAGTATGTACAATGTGAATGTTATCTTAAAGAAGAACCTCAACCATGTGAAGAGGATTCTTTGTGGTGGGGGCAGTTTTGGCATTTCATGTAAGCTCATGGCAAATGCAAAGCAAAGACATGAAATTTTCTCTTCCAGTATGGTGGTGTAATCTGAAGGCCAACATTCCCTCAGATAATAAATATAGATCCTGGGCAAAATACTAGAAACAACTACCTGAGAGTTCAGGAAACTGAAGAAAAACTGGAAAGATTTTGGATGGGAGATAAGATATGGAGGAAGAGATGGGCACAAGCTAAGGTTAATGTTTCTGACCTAAGTACCAGCTATAGTCACGATGCAGGTTTAGGACAGCTAAGGCTGCGGTGGAAAGCCTGGGGTCTTTCTGGTCTGGAGAACTAAGAGATGGGATCTGGGCTAACCACAGCTTCCAGAAAGTGAAGGAGAAATCTCAGAAGGGATAAACGAGGACCTGGAGAAAGAGGTCCCAGACTTAGTAGATGAAGTTAGCCAAAGTAATTAACCCCTGAACTCTGCAGATACAGAACATATCAAAGATAAAGCCAGATACTAGTTAAAACAGTAAGGATAGATTGAAATCAGTAACATACTCTTGCAATAAGAAGAGTCCAGTATGAACTGAACTCAACTTGAATTTGTATTGAGGTGACTGGGTGTCTTAGAGAATGAGGGAATAGAGAGGAGGATAAGTGAGGGCTTAGTAGAATCAGGGATATAAACAGGAAGAGTTGGTTAACGTGAAACCCATTTGGATTTGTTAACTGGCTGTAATGCCAACGTAGGCTCTTACCCTCCCACAGAGACGGACTCTACCTTAAAGTGCTGGTTGGAAGAAACAGTAAACTCTTAGCAACCTTGAGTTTTCTCAGGTAAGCACTTTCAGGAGGAGGATAGTCAACCTATGGATGTGGCTTTGAGCTGTTAGAAACTGCTAATGTGTTTTTCAGATCTTTACAGGCAAAGGTTTATTTAGAAGTAGAAAGGGCTCAGAGGAGCCTGGCTAGAATTTCATCAAAGATAATCTGTGAAACAGACAAGAAGTTTGCAGTTTACCCTAATAAAATTGAATTGTCATTTGAACCGCCACCTACAAGACCATTCTCCAGGTGACCTTGGACTAACCCACTTCTCCCCACTTCTCACTGGTTGTCAAAAAGAACAGCCTTGCTCTGTGGTCAGGTGAATGACAACCAAGTGGAAAAAGATCTGTGTAGTTACAAGGAGTATGGCAAAAGGTTGCTAACTGGAAAGGACAAATACATGTCACCTGTGGATGCTGCGAATACCATAGCCACCTTTTAGGGGAACTTAAATTGTGTTTTTGGATACCCTGTGAAACTTTGCTCTGAACCTCCTTTACTGCCCAAGGAACATGACAGCAGGCACACTCATGGAATACAATGGGCTTTCCATGTACCCTGTCATCCTCAGTCCAATAGAGCTGTTGAACAATGGAAAGCCAGCTCACAACAAGTGAAGGAAGGACATCAGGATAACCAACTAGTGGGGTGATAGCAGCCCATCTGAATAGGGCAGTATGGGGACACTGAACACTGCGCTCCAGGGCAAAGGAACCACATGATTGCAGCACATGTTGAGAAACACAGCCTGGAGGAGGTACAGGTGGACTACATAATGGCCTCTGCCTGTGAAATCCAAATTCCAGTGTTCCCAGCCATTTTCTTTTTTTACATGTACATCCTGTGGGTGGTTTGCAGTTCTGGCTGCCATAGTACCCCAAAAGGCCCCCCTAAGTCTAATCTGGAGTCAGTGTTTCCCTCAGGTGCACTCCCTGTGAGATCCCTCAGGTGTGGAAACAGGACCAAGAAATACCAGGGTGCTACAGTCCCTCTAATAGTGCCAGGGACATCTGATCCTTCCATTTAGCTGGGCAATGTCAGACGTGTCATCATTCAAGAAGTGACTTCCCTTCCTGGACTGGATGACTGAGGCTGAAATATCTGAGGCATTTCAAGGATAATACCACAGGATATGGTAATGTTTATAGTATACAGTGTGATGTTCTGATATTCATATATGTTATGGAATGATTACCACAATCAAGCTAATTAACATATCTCACATAATTACCTTTTTTGTGTGTATGGTGAGGACATTGAAGATCTATTCTTCTGGCAAATTTTAAATATATAACAAAGTATTAGCTGTAGTCACCATGCTGTACAGCAGATCTCCAGAACTTATTCATCAAGCATAACTATTACTTTGTATTCTTTGATAAACATCTCCCCACTTCCCCTGCTCCCCAGCCCTTGGCAACCACATTCTACTCCCTGGTTCTATGAGTTTGACTTTTTCAGGTTTTACATGAGTGAGATCATTAGAGTATTTGTCTTTTTGTGCCTCTTTGATTTCACTTAGCATTATGCCTTCTATGTTAATACATGTCACAAATAACATGTCCTTTTTAACGCTAAATAATATTCCTCTGTGTGTATGTTTATATCTATGTTGACTCTAGTTTTTTGCTCGTATGAATACTATAAACATTTATGTACAGGTCACAGACATCTGATCCTTTCATTGTGATGGGTGATGTTATCAGATATGTCAAGTTTGTTTAGGACCTGACCTCCCTTCCTGGGCTAGACCGCTGAGGCCAAAAGGTCTGGGAGAAGTAACAAGGACAATGGGGCCTGCAGAGGTAGTGGCCTCAGGATAGGGACAGACAGACTGGGTTGCTGCACCAACTCAGCCTGACCCCTGTCCCATAGATAGGGTCAACTCTGAGAGATCTGGTGGGGGAGGTGCAGAGTAGAGTACTAGCCAGCCACTATGCTTTTTACATGGGATGAGACATCTAAGGCTTGAAATCCTAACACCTTTGTTAGGTTCTCGTAAGTTGTGGCCATGGCCGCAAAGTGACCTGCCATTCTGGACCTCATTCTGTCACAGACCACAGTGACCAAGTCTTACTAATGGCATAGTTGCATTTGCTCAGGTTCTCTTGTACAATGTTATTCATGAAGCCCCTACGCAAAGGACTAACAATCCAGTCCCTGTTTTTGTTGTTGCCATTGGGATACTTAGGTAATAAAAAGAGGTGTGTCCAAGTGCCAGCCCCTCAAGGTTTTGTTAGTTGTGGTTCTGACATTTTGGCAGAGGTC